TCAGCCGGAACGCGGCGGAACCGCGTTCCGGCACCTTTTTCCGGGCCGGCCGCACCGGAAATAGCCCCTCCCACACCAGAAATAGCCCCTCCCAAATTTTACTTGCATTCCTGTTCTCTAAAGGGGCGGTCCTAGGGTTTGATGAGGGCGTGGCCAGGTTTGAGTTCCGCCACCTTTTCTCCGAGAAAAAAAGCCCTGCTAGGCATTGTTTTTATGTTTTTAACAATGTAAATTAGATTCACATTTCCCATTATAGTTTTCCCTACCACTTAGAAATATTTCTGCATCCGAAGAGCAGCTTGCATATATTCTAAAATATATAACCCAGAAAGAGAAAGAAATTGTGAAGAAGAAAGAAAAAAAGATCAAACATTGAACATAGCTAAAAAAAATAATTAAAGTATAAGAAATAGTTTTATTATAAATCAAAAGCATTCACATAAATGTAAATAAGAGGTGGAATAAGGAGGAAAAAAATCTACACCTGTGACCCTTGATACTTGAGCATTAATACTCAGTTTGTTTTAAAATATGTTCATGTATTTCTATTATAGTTTACTCTGTTTCTCCAAGGTTAAAAGAGTCTGTAATGGCAGCATCTCTATCCAGAATTCTAGCTATTTGGACCAATGTAGCAATGGATTGTCTTCAATCAAGTTCAAGAACTCTGAAGTTCAATCTCAATGGAAACTCGGAAATCATTGGTAAAATGTTGGACTATGTATACGCACATTGGGAACATCCACTAGATGCAGTTAGGCACCAGACCAAACTAATATTTAAAAATCTGCTTCAAATACATCAGACTGCTGTGAAAGAATCCATAATAAAACCAGACCCTTTCTTCTCAGAATTAACTGAAAGCCTGCTAGGTTTAGAATGGCATGTTAAAGGCAAATACTCATCACTTGGATATCTTGTGGAGTGTATTGGCATTGAAAATCTTTTGGAAATTGACAGAACAATCCCTGTACAAATCTTGGGTGTAATGAATGATCAGTCTTTTGCACCTTATGCAAGTGATTTATTGGAAATCATGTTTGTGAATCACAAGAGGCATCTTATATCCACTTTGGAAAGAAGCACTTGGATTGATAGTTGGCATGAGACATGGGTTTCTCCTCTGCTTTTGATCTTATGTGATGGAAATCCAGAACAAGCCACCTACGTAACAGATTATTACTTACCAAAATTGCTAAAATGTAGCCCAGAAAGTTTGAACTACATGATTAAAATCCTTCAAATTTCAACAGAGTCTAACATTGGTAAGACCTTTTATCTCATACTGAACCTGTTGTAGTGTAATGTATCCATAAATAGGCTGAGTTTGGGGTGATGGTGTTTTTTTTTAATTTATTTTTTGAAGGGAATTTGAGGGAGAATAGAATTCCAAATTCTTAGATATTTAAAGGATAAGTAAATATGGCTCTTAGCGACTGGGAACATACTTTCGAATTTCTATTCTGAAATCTTTCAATTAATAATACAAATTTTATTTTCTTTATTACAAACTAAGTAAAGTTGGTCATTTCCCCGTTGCATTAGTTTTCTTCATAAACATTATTAAAGATAACCATATTTTTCCCTAACCTTAATAAAAACATGATTTTATTGTTTTTATTGAAAGTTTGACTTTCATATTATGAAGGACTTTCATATTATTTCATAGAATGTCTTCCAGTCATTAGAGTAGCCATGTCTTTGGTCAAATTCAAATGATTGCTTTATAAGCTGTTCCTTTCCAACAAAGCATTTTTATATTTATATGGCCTTAATATTTAATATTTAATATGCCACGATAGTGCTTGTAATATGGAGTCACATCTGTGTGTATCATAAAAATTAAGCTAGACTAATCTGTTTGGTGGATATGATCTTTATGGGCAGGCTGAGCTGAGAAGAAAATGAGTGACTAACCATTATCTTTGTTAATTGGAATTTATGTATTTTATTAAGGATCTTTCAAAACCAGAGGCGCTCTTGGAGCCCTGATGGCATGCTTGAGAACGGCCAGGGCTCATGGGCACTTGCAGTTTGCAATCATACTACAAGACGGCCTTGTGCCTGTGAGCTATATAAAACAAGGTTTGGTTCACCAACACGATGAGGTACCTCTCTCAATGTTTGAAATGTTAGAATTAATGTTTCAGAGAAACCAGATAATTAAAAATTTGCTTCTAATTTTAAAGGTCCGAATAGATGCGTTGGGTTTACTATGTGAAAGTCACCGTAGCACAGAAGTAATTTCCATAGAAGAAATGCAACTGATACAGTTTTTTATTAGATACAACTTGAACAACCAATCAGCAGCAGTGAGGCAGCAGATTTGTTCCTTACTGAAAAAGGTAATTTTAAAATGTGAATGTAAAACATACTCTTGTTTCTCAAAATGCTATAAGGAAATGCAATACAAATGAAATTCCATGGATTCTTTATGGATTTTTTAAATATGTAAACTAATTTGTAATGCCATTTTTTATCTTTTTAATTGAATTCTATTTTTTTTTTAAAGCTCTTCTTCCGGATACATGAAAGCTCCCAGACAATTCATAAAATGCAGCAATTGAAGTCTAAACAAGGTCTAATTAATCAAACACTTATATGGGATCCACCTACAACTTTGCAACAGTATCAAGTAGGTTTTGTAAATTGCTCTAATCTAAATAATTAATATTTTTGTGTAAATTTCAAATATTTCAGTAACCACAAAAGAGGAAAGTAAAATAAGCAGTTGATTTTCTGTGATTTATAAAATTAAGGTATGAGATAGAAAAAAAGTCATGTAAAATTATCTTATTCTAACATAAAGGAAATGAACTTAATTCAATATTGACTATGCTTGCCTTTTAAAATATTTCATAATGTGTTCTGACCTAAACTGGGTCTTATGCTACATGTACAAAACTAACCAATCTGGCATTTGAGCTTTCACAGGCCTGAAGAGACAGGATAGAATCAATCAGCTATATTGCTGGAGTAGATTTGAACCATTAAACAATATGTATTATGTGCACATTGAAATTATGCACATTGAAATTGAAAAGTGTAGAAATTTCTTGTCTATGAATGTGATGTTTTTAGAAAGTTTTTATTGTTCATTTTTATTCCTGGAAAGTGATATTAATTCTTGTACTCTTTTCTTGAAAAGAAATCTGGGTGCTCACAGCTGAAATATAGATGGTATTGATAGAATATACACATAATGCAGGACAGGCAGTCAGCTTGTTAGTTATGCTGTGATATCATAGAAAGCTCTATGGTGCATGCAAACTGAAGCTTTATTTAGGGTTAGCACCAAAAATTGCTGAATTATATCACGCCTTAAAAGATAAAAATAGATGTGTAATATACCATCCGAAATATTTGTGTATGTTCTAATAGAAAGCATGTGTCATTGATCTGAGGAAATTATTCAACAAAAAATGTGCTTCTGTGTCAGGACCAACTCCGTGTTAGTACAAGGTAAAAAGAAAGAAACTGACTAGAGGTGACCAACAAACATTATGATAGCCTCAGTAAAGCACTTCTGGCTACTGTAAAAGTTGCAGAAGCCCTTCCCCCATTCAGTCATGTGACCACATTTTGGGCACTTGTCAACTGGCTTGCATTTACAATCAATTGCAAAGCACCCTATGATCATGTGGTTGCCATTTGCAATCTTCTCTGCTGGCTTCCCTAGAAAATCAAAGGGGAAGCTGGCAGGAAAGGTTGCAAGAGTGGGGAGGGCAGGACAGAAGGAAGCTGAAATCAACTTCTCAAAGATTTTTTCCTCCATGCATGGAGGGAAGCTGAAATCCTTTGGTGGGCTGCAGGAACATTTGAAAGTGAAAGAGCTGAAGCAGGCAGCCTTTTCATTCTGTCCATTTAATGACCTGGGAGGTCACTTAATGATTGCAACCAGGAATGTTGGGATTGTTGTTGAGTGCAGGAGTCATGTCAATGCTAGCTGGAGAATTCTGGGAGTTGAAGTCCACACATCGTAAAGTTGCCAAGGTTGAGAAACACTGCTGTAGATTCTGCAATTTTATCTTTGCTGCTCTGTTTATTCAGGCTTTTTGAAAAGAAAAGAACAAAATATATAGGTACTCCATATAGATGGCTAATTTGAGTGAATGGATTTCAAAATCAGTTTTGCAAAATTTACCTTTTTATTGTGCAGGAATTTACATGTCAGTTTTTCTAAATTGGTGAAAAAGTCTTCTTTCTAATGCTTAAGCTTTCTAGTTAGCTAGTTCTAAAATCAAGATTTAAACAATCCATCTTTCGAGGGCCAGGTAGAACCTTCAGGTTATCAGAATGGGACAGCTGAGTAGAGAAGCTAATTTTACCTTAGACTAGGAAAAGTTAAAATGTATAAGTTGTTCACTCAATGGCTGAGTTCATAAAACTTGCTTACAACATTAATGATGGGAACAGCATTTTATATGTACCTGGTAATCTACTGTAGCTACTGCTAGGCTAGGAAAATAGTGGTCAACCCATCTTCCCCAAGGCACACATTGTTGAAATCAGCTGTGGGATAGTGTCTAAGATACTTATTCCTCCAAGAAAAAGTGATGGAGCTGTGGAATTTCTAAGAGTAGGGCACTGCACTGAAGAATTTATATAATTTGGCAGCTGCAGAATGTACCTCTCAAACTCTGATGAGATGGGGCGCCTTAACTGTGCCCATTATTGCTTGCTCTGCCAGTGGACTCAGTGGAGGCTTGTCCACATTCTGCTGACACAAAGTCTGATAAGAGAACCATGGAAGACTCATGGATAATTTGTATTCTCCAGAATGGCAGGCCTTGACCTAGTTATTGTGTTATAGGATCAGAGGATAAGGAGGGATGATTTGGTTGATGTGTAAGTGAACCAGGACACCAAAAAATTTTCAAACATAGATTTCAAATATATGGTATTATTAGGCGTAAGCAACCAGATCCACTCATGAATAGTCTCAGGCTGAAACTTCATTGTTTATCACCTACGTTACAAGAATCTCAGCAGACTGCTTGCCTTCTCCTGGGAGCTCCAGATAAGACTTCATGAATTTTGGGGGGAGGTCATGCTTATACCATTTGCAGTTTACAATGACTTCAACCTTGGCTCACTTGGCCCCTCTCTCCAGCCTATCTGAGAGTTTCCCCACAATAGTCTACATATATGCATAGATTAAAAACATGTCCTCCTCTTTCCAAAGGAAAATTGTATTTGATCGTTATCGCAGGTAAAAATGTAATTACTGCTTTATCTTTAGGATTTCATCTCTTCCATCTGCAGTATACTTTTTGAATCCTTGTTTCCTGGTTCATCCCATTCAAGCAGATTTACTGCACTGACTCTTTTGGGAACAATAGCTGACATATTTCCTAATTCAGAAGGTAGGTTACCTTAAAGAACAGAATCAAATTAAAATGATTTTCCAGGAAATACTAAAGTTAATGTAAGTTTTAAAATATTTTTTCATACCAAAAATAAAATTGTTAAAGGATAAGAACATTTTTATACTAGATCAGCGGCTCTCAGCCTTTTCTATATCCTTCACCCCTAGAACGCTTCTGATACATTCTCGCATTCCTTATAAAAGTTTGAAATAATGGCAATGAATTATACATATACATTATAATTTTGAAAACCCAAGTTTTTGCACCCACTGCAATATCATCTTGCACCCCCAGGGGTGCGAGCACCCCTCCCTGTTGGGAACCCCTGTATTAGATGATAAGAACTATGTTTGGATGATATAATGTTACCACTTGTAGTTATAAACATGCTGGAGGGTCCCTTCCTTAAATAGCATAGCTGGTATGGTTTAAGTTGCTCTTTTATCCACTTAAAAGTGATAACTGCTTTCATCAGAAACAAATCTGAGAAAGAAGCTATTGTTTGTTTTATGGCTCTCTTTTTGACTTGACATGCTTCAGTTAGAGAAACAAAGTACATGCTGAGATCCATTCAGAACAAGGAGTCTACAGATATATTTCCACTAAGGTATACGAGTAGCCCTTGGCTTACATTTAAAAATGACTGTTTAAATTTTCAGTGGTGCTGAAAAAAAATGGATGTACAACCAGTCTTCAAAGTTCAGTTATTACAGCATGTGATCATGATCCAGGTGCTCTCATGACCAACTCACAATTATGATTTTGCAGAGAGGTGCAATCACATGATAAGCCATTTATGACCTTCCCTGAAAGATAGATAACAATCTACCTTCCCTGTCCATGGTTTGAGATGGTTTGAGAGAGGATTGAAGGAATCCATTTATGTCAAAGTGGAAAATCCTTCCCTCAGTTAAGTGGAGGCCTCAGACACAATCTTTCCCCTATTTTTTATGCTGTTCATGCATCAGTCCCCAGGATGATAAAGACCCACTTCACTGGTTCAGCAGGGAGGCCACACTTAATGACCCACTTAGGAGAAAGGATTTAGGAGCAATTACTTTTAGCAACTCACCTAATAAACCTGTTCAAATTAGTTGAGAAATGAAAACCACCCTGGAAGCTATAAATGGATTCCCCTAACAACTTACTCATATTGAAGAAACTACTTGAAATGAAAAGTTTCAAACCAAAAAGAAAATAAGTCCAGTTGCCATGACTCAACTTCTGGGCAACGCTAGCTGGGTGACTGTGAATCTTCAACGACAGCCTAGTTTTAGGCTTTTCCTTAACTGTTAGTTAGGCATCTACCTGAAAGAGGAAGACAGATGGCTTCATACAGGCTAAGATCTTTCTGCAATAAATACGTATTGATTTCAGTATCAGCAGCTGATATTAAAAAAAATGAACATGCAAGCCTGAACATGCATACGTAGCTGTGGTTGCAGATGTCAAGTAAGCAACACTAATTCTGGTGAAGAGTACATGGAAAAACTCTGAAGATGGTTATAATTCTTATATTAGGCTCCTTTGAAAGCAGAAACGGTATAGCAATGAGATATTGTTTTGATGTTGCTATTATTGATAATGATACCATGTGGCGTTTCCCTACTGCATAAGAAAGCTTTTTCTCACCATAGTCTTTCATATAATAATGTAAATTTAAGGTTTTTAATATGGTAAGTAATTCCAGATAATATGATCCATTGGGGATATTGCTCATGGTTGATTGTTGTTTTTTCCCCAGCCATGCTCCAATTCAGCTGTCTTTGTAAATATTTTCATTTTTAATAGGCCAAAGTCAAGAATTATTCCAAATAACCCAAGAAGTGGACAGTTCTCATGCCGAAAGTTTGTTGCACTGTTTTGCCAGCACTTTTAACGAAGTAAAGACCTTGGCATTTGATCTGCTAATGAAACTTCATCCTTTCTTGCCTTATTTTCAGGTACAGGGACAGCTCACAGATTTATTTATTTATTTATTATCTATTATGAAATTTATGTGATCATCCAATTCACTCATGGTGACTATAGATACTGACAGTTTCAAAATTACCACACATAAAATTCCTGTAGCACTGATTAGACATTGTTTAACTATGTTAATCAGAAGTCAAGATTTCTGTTTATATATCCAGATGACTGAGCAGGTTACAATTTAGACTCACCAGCTTGTATTTAAAACTTTATTATTTTTTTTCTGCATATTTCAGGATCCTGAAAAACTACAGCCATTGTTTCAGGTAGCTATGCAGCTCAGCCAAAGTTCCAAGCCATATGATTGTGTGACTGCTTCCTATTTACTGAACTTCTTAATACATCAAAAAGGATTGTTGAAGATTTTTTCAGAAAATTATCAACCTCTGGGCATGTTTCAGCCAAATGAAGATCTACTTGCCGACTCGTTAGAGAAGAACACTTTATTCGGTCATTATTATACATTCTGTAGTTTAAAGTTTCCATCCTGTATTGAAAGATGATCCCATTATGTCCAGAGAAAGTCTTCATATTCAGATGTAATATGTTTCTGTTTTAACCTAAACCAGTGTTTCTCAACCTTGACAATTTTAAGGCATGTGGACTTCAACTCCCAGAATTCCACAGCCAGCATTGCTGGCTGTGGAATTCTGGGAGTTGAAGTCCACATGCCTTAAAATTGTCAAGGTTGAGAAACACTGACCTAAACGTTGTCCTTGTGTTTTCAATCTTAGGTACCAACTCGTTCATGTATGAGCTCTTAGAAGCTTTCTGTATATTTGCTTTTTTGAAATTTTTATTGACCTGGGAATTTTCATCTAAACTTCTAAGGCATAAAAATATCTGCAACAATCTGTCTCTCTAATGGCCTAACCCCCAATTCTCTGGCCTTCATATCCAGTCTGATACCACTTTACATATTTAGACTTTGGAAACTTGCTACAACAAATTACACTGATTTTACAGACATTTGGTCTAACAACATACAGCTTTAATCATTTTTCATTTTTATTTTCTGTCTGTATATTCTCTAGTCAATCCATATATCCTGTTAAAACACTGATTCCTGTAACCTGTAACTGGGCAAATCAATGCACCATAAGGCAAAGCTTTTTAAACCACATGGGCTAAGTTACAGAATGCGTCTGATCTATGACTCCAATGGAATTGAAATCTGTTAAATTTTATAAAACATTTTATGACATAAACATCATAAAACAGATTGACATAACACAAAATGTCACAAAACATTTCTTGTGCTGATGTTTGATTGTGGTATACTGTTCAACATAGGTTATTTTCAAGGCAGATACCTCTCTGAATAAATCCCAACTTTTCCAGGGAAGGCAGTACATTAGAAGCTCTGCCATTGTTGACCCAAGGAGTCATGCTGGTCTAGTTTTATCTCTATAAGTGGCTCTATTGTCATTTTTATGCTTTTGTGTGATTTGTTTGTTTAATATAAAATTAGGATTTGGTAAGGATTTGGTATTTACAAAGACTTATACCCTTCTGTCCTTTTATTTACTACCTATAGTTATCAAGTACTTGTTGGAAAATCTTGAAAGAGAAATATTGCAAGCTGAGAGGTCTTTACTCCATGCAGCTGCTTCATTCCCAATGTATGGCAGAGTACATTGTATAACTGGGGCTTTGTGTCAATTAAAGTGAGTAATATCATTGAATATTGATGTGAATTGCAATCACATTCATTGATTTCTTTGTTGCCGTAGGATAAGCTGAAGGAGTGCTTGGTCTTGAAATGGTGGGCTGGCAACAGTCCTTGGAAAAAGTAGGGGGAACGAGAACAAATGTTATATGAAATTAAATTTTAATTAGAATGTAAGTCAGTTTCATTCATTGTAATTATTTTCCACATGTTATGCATTTTGCCTTTCTGCCACAATAAGTAAAGTTTGTGGGTAAAATTTGGAGAGATTCTTGTGGGCAGATCTAGAATTTGTAGGGCCTGCATAGCCTCTCAGTGACTCCTGTAATAGAAGTTTGCTTGGGCAAACTAATAAAAAAATATGCTCTTGATTTGAACTCAAATATGCTCTTGATTTGAGCTCAGTTCCATTAAGTATGTGGTTTTCATGGCAACACTGTGTAAATAGTTTTTATTGCCTTCTGGAATGCTTTCCAATTTTCCAGTTGAGATTGTGGCCTGGATTCCATGGTGGTCTTGTATTAAAGATATAACCAGACTGAACTACATGAATCTTTTGAAGAGTATTCTATGTTGCTTCCTCAGTGAAAAACAGTTGCATCTAATCGGATTCATCCTGTTAACCTAGGATGTAAACACAAGTTTCAATGGTGCCAAAAGGAAATATAGATGAAATATGGGAATGCTTTACTAGGAGGAGGGGAAATTTAGATTGTACTTCAGATAATAAGACACCTTGAGAAGATACTGAGAAGTATCCTTTTTAGTATATCTCTTTGTGTTTTGGGATTCCAGTGATTCATCTATTTATATAACCTTCATTGAGAAGAAATATGACATGTAATAAATTATAATATAATCTTGCATGCAGTAAAATAATTCTGTGGTTTTAAGCTGTAATTTGTATGTGATGAATAAGCATTAATGTATCATTTATTTTATTTTTAAACTTGTAATTAATTTTAGGGTGACTTGATTCACAGTGAATTTTTTTGTTCAATTGTTCTTTGTTCAATTTATTTGTTACAGTCATATGACATTGACCAGTGAATGGAAGGAAGTAGTGAGAAAACTTATTCTGATGTCCTACAAACTTTCTGCTGTAGTATCTCCTGTAGTTCAGAGTTCATCTCCAGAAGGTCTTATTCCAATGGATACTGACTTGGGTAATGCAGGGATATTCCTAAGATTCCTGACTTTTTTAATGCACTAACCTCAATGAACTTTATGTATTTTGTTTATCAAACTTGATGTCTCTTTGCTGAATCAAATAGTTTCCTTTTCTGAGCCCCCCAGAACTGTGCATTCCAGTATTCTTCTCTCTATATATGTTGGTTCTGGTCAATATGATGCTGTATTTTCAATGTCATTGTAAAATTGAGATATGAATGCTTATTATTTCTCAAGAACATGCAGCTATTGAGTATAGGGTACTCAGGTAGCTATATGTCTCAGAGTGCAGGACTATAAGAGGAATAGAATAGAACAGAACAGAACAGAACAGAACAGAACAGATCTGGAAGAGACCTTGGAGGCCTTTTAGTCCAGGCTCCTGCTCATGCAGGAGAACCTATACCATCTCAGACAAGTGAGTGTCTAGCCACTAACATAGCTGAGGACTTATTTGCTATTGTAGCTGATTAATAATAGTGATTTATAACTTTTTGCTATAAGCATCCATATAATTAGCAGAGACATAACTGTAGGCTACTCAGTTGTGACCGAAGTAGCCTAGAAACCCCCTAGATATATGCATACTTACATCCATTAAAAAATGGATAAGCCCTTCTTCTGTTTGATACAGCTATATGCAAAAATTTGGCATCCCTGATTATATTGTATGTTTCAGAGAATCTCTTAAGTCAGGAGGTTTCAAACTTTTTCAGACTTCAGAATTTGTAAAAAAAAATTCTTGGGACACCTGATCAATAGACAAAGTTCTAGTGATAGATAGTTGGCTGCCTTCAAATGAACATTTGTTGCCACATCAAGGTTCTGCAGAACAATTTGAAAAACCCTTTCTTAAAGCATCTGATTATAAATTTTGTGGTAAATGTACTCATCCCACATACTGTGTTCACAGTACCATCCATATTCTCACAATTTCTTTTGATTTTTCAGCCCCCAAACATCTTCCTATGTGGACCGAGGAAATAACAACATTGAGGCTGTGACAAATTGCTATTTCATTTTAGATGAGGAGAATGATGTTTATTAGGAGTGATGGGCTGAAGAGTTTATTAGCATAAGTCTTCAGTCTTTGATTTGGTTTGGTCAAAAAACTTGATTTATTTGGTTTAAAGTTAAAAAAAGACAAAGGTTTCCTTGTCAGTCATTCCCACTCTAGGGTATGGTGCTCATCACTGTTGGCCAAGGGAGCTGTGTTGTCCGAAAACAATTTCCGTGGTCATGTGGCCAGCATGGCTCTATGCCAGGGGTAGGCAACCTTGGCTCTTTTATGACTCGTGGACTTCAACTCCCAGAATTCCTGAGTCAGCTATGCTGGGAGTTGAAGTCCACGAGTCATAAAAGAGCCAAGGTTGCCTACCTCTGCTCTATGCCAAAGTCATACGGAATGCTGTTATCTTCCCAGTGAAGTGGTACCTATTAATCTATTTGCATTTGCGTGCTTTCGAACTGTTAGGTGGGCAGGAGCCAATTGAGTTTAAAGGAAGGGATTTAAAGGAAGAGATTTAAAGGAAGTTTAAAAGAAGGGGACATAAATCTGAAACTTACAACTTGTTTTCCAGAAAAATCCATGCAAGCCATTGGAGTGAAATCATTACTAGCTATGTGTTTGAAAACCGAACTGGATTGGTTTCATGTTTTGTATTTATAGGATAACATAAAAGCATACATAATGTTTGCCTGGTATAGTCAGTGCCTTGATCAAATTTAAGCATGGTCAAGATAGAAAGTTGATAGGCCCACATGTGATTGACATTCACATTTCCAAACATATACAGAAGAAGAGGAATGGAAACCAGGACTGGCAAATCCTTTCCAATTTTTCTCTTACATGTTTATTTCTTTAATTATTTCTGCTCCATCATGACTGAGAGGCCATTCCTTCCTTAAAGTTGCCATGCCTTTTCTTTGATGAAGTAAGCAATGGATAGGAACACACCTATTTTTTTCTTTCTCTTTCTCTAGCAGTTTGGAATAGGACAAATGGTTCTTACCTAAAGACTGTATTGAACTTTTATGAGAAGTTTTAAAGTTAAGCAGAAGGCTGCCAAATATTAGTCTCAGAGCTATCTATAAACCTATGGCTCCAAATGGTCTGCCCAAAGCATATGTAAAATGCGCGTCTGCTGGTGGTGCATATAAGAAACAATAACCTACTGTTTTTAACTAGAAAAATGGGTCTGGCCTTGAGAAAATTTAATTAAAACCAATAGAGGGAAAGGGTGACAAAACCAGGGAAAAATTTGGAGTAGATCATTGTATGGATTTAGACTGGGATCACAGAGTGCAGGGTTACATGGCCTATAGTTTCCAGATCTTTCATATTACATTCCTACAGTTTCTTCCATCAATCGAGCTGGCTGTTTCTGAAGGAGTAGAAGTGTAACATGTCTGGAGGAGCATAACGCTTCCATTTGAAGTGTAATAAATTATGACTAGGTGAAGGTGAAAAAATGGACTGATCATTAGGGTCAAAGGAGAGAGTGACAATGTTAACTTTATAGCAAAAGAATAAGAGATCAGGAACTTTAAGGAAACTGCATTGATTGAATTAGAAGAGTTATATTACATAACCCTAACAAGAACTTCACACAGTGGTGAGGCAATCCTGACAGGTTGACTTTGTGTAGTCATTATATATTTTAAAGTGAATTTTCTGTTTGCTCACAGAAACATCAGAGAGATTGCAGTCTATTCTACTTGAGATACAGCCATGTGATACAAATGATTACTTCACAGAAGCAAAATTGTTAAAAGAATATTACGGACCAGACTGTGGTGATGGGAGAGCTCCAAACGTTTGTACTGAAATTAAAGGTAATTAAGGATGAAACAAGTTTGTGCCAAGGAAGACTATGATGAAGATTAGAGGATAATCTTGGAATTTTTATTCCAATAACTGTTATTCACAAAAGCCAAGACTAGTTTTCTCATTTATTTATTTGAATCCAACTGACCTTTAATCTGAGCTTAGTCTGTTGCCATAGCTATTTCAGAGAAATGTCATTGGGGACTGCTGGTTGCTTGCTGCTTCTTCTGTTCTCTTTTTTCTCTCAGCATAATTGTAAACTGTTTGGATTCAATGCCTTTTAAAGCATTAGATGCCTAATAAATATTGATTACTATTAAAGGAAGCTGAGAAAATTTGGCCTGAGAAAATTACCTACTTATACTAACAGTAGTAAATCTCAAAATGATTATTCTTATTATAAAAGTTTAATATTGGAGTCATCCAAATGAGTGCTGGAGATAACGGTAGTCCTCAGTTAACAACCACCCATTCAGTGTCTGTTCAGAGTTGTAATGGTATGGAATGAGTGTTGAATTCTTACGGCTGGTCCTTGAAGTTCTGGTTGTCCCACATTCTCCACAGTCACATGATTACAATCGGGGTAATTGGCAACTGATTTGCACGTAAGACTGTGGGGGTGCGGTGTCCCACAGTCATATGATTTGGGGAAGCCAGCAGAGAAAGTAGCAAGCTACTTGGGTAAATCTCCTTTGCCTGGAAGCAGCCATCTCAAGTCTTGTGGTGCTTATACCACATTGGCCTCTTCCACATGCTCTCTCTCACTGCACAGCAGTCATCCCAAGCCTTGCTACATTCATGCTGGACTGTACTGGCCTCTCATTCACCCTCTCCTGCTCTGCTGCAGCCACTTACCTGCCTGCTGGCCTGCTTGCAAACCCCTCTGGGACTTGCAACTTCCTGCTGACTTTCCTACTCACTTGGTTGTTGGAAGCCAGTAGGAAGTTGTGAGGAGCTCCTTATTTATTTATGAAATTTATTTGCTGCCTATTTCGTACCTGGGTGACTTATAACATAAAAGCATTAAAACATTAAAAACATGACAACCATCAACACCAAGGTCCTTGCTTAACAATCCACAAACCTTGCTTACTGACAGCAACAGGGAGTGCGGTTACTAGGCCGTGACGTTTTGTGAGTTTGTGCTTTGTGAAATCATTGCTTAGCAGTGAAAATTCTGATCCCAATTACCACTAATATCTGAGGAATATCTGCATAGTGATTGCAAATTAATTTAGGGACCTAAACCTGAACTTTGGTTCAGCTTGTAGTACTCTAGAGCTAGTCCAGTCTAAATCTAAGACCAGTTTAAAGATAATATTTGGAAAAAAGCCTTTTTCCATAATCTAATAAGGGAAAAACATTGTTTCCATTTTTAAATTATTATTTTGAATTACAGTAGATGTGATTTGTAGGAACGCTTGATTGTTATGAGGAGAAGCATGATACTTTCCTAGGGGTGCAAATCAAGCTCCTTTCTATGTTGCGCTAATGTTTCTGAGACATATCTAATGCCTCCACTTCTATGTTAACAATGCAAGTATTTATCTTTTTTTGCATTATCTTGGAGCCTCATGGAATTAGATTGGTGTTGGAGCATTATAGAATCTCAGAATTGGAACAGAAGAGATTCAGATGCATCCTTTCTATTCTGAAGAAGTTATAAATTACGGTTATATTTTATTGCACAGACTAGCTGATGCATATAGAATGATCATTGGTATATTAAATAATATTAAATAGAATTGTAAATTTTTAGATAAGATTGTAGAATAATTTTTTTCTTGTTATTGGTGTTCTGGTGATTCTAATTCTTTGGCATTCGGGCAGTCTGAACTCATCCTACATCTCACCTTTATTTCTGTTTTGAATAAAAGAATAGAATGTCAACTTATTTCTCCTAAGTTTATTATTTACAAGAAGCCACTGACCATGAATATCCAGAGATTTGAGGTATTTTGTCAATAATATTGTGATGGGAATGAACGTGAAAGGCCTAAAACACTGTCTGATACAATTGTTTGATTTTTTCTTCCCAGGAAATAAAAAGTTGAAATCTAACGCTCTGCAAGCTTTTATCTTATCTTTGCAGCCAAAAAAGTTGTAGATCTAGTATGCATAATACTGCATGCATCTCTCTGAGCTCCCTATCAATATTAGTCAGAATAGTGACATGGAATAGCTCAGTGGTTCTCAACCTGTGGGTCGGGACCCCATTTGGGGTCGATCGACCATTTCATGAGGGTCGCCAAGCAAGGCTGTCTGCCATTTTTTTTGTCTGCCATTTTTTTTGTCCGCCATTTTTTTCCCCCTTTTCCGGCGGGTGCCTTACCTCCCTTGGGCTGGGCCAGCTGGTGGTCGGCCTGCTCCGTCTCTGCCACTTGCCAGCTATGCCTCGGCCGGCGCAGGGGGCAGAACCACGCATGTGGGGCGCTCCCGGGCAGGGAAAGTCCTCGACTTACGACTGGTTGGGTAGTCCTCGACTTACGACTGGTTTAGTCCTCGACTTACGACCGGTTTAGTCCTCGACTTACGACCGGTTGGGGTCGCGGCATTAAAAAGATTGAGAACCACTGGAATAGCTGAACTGTTTAATGAACTATATTCTTGTGCATGTGTTGAATGTTTCCAGTGGAAATGAATATTTGAATATTGGGGAACTTCTAGGTGAATAAGGACCAGGGCTTTTTTTCAGCCGGAACGCGGCGGAACCGCGTTCCGGCACCTTTTTCCGGGCCGGCCGCACCGGAAATAGCCCCTCCCACACCGGAAATAGCCCCTCCCAAATTTTACTTGCATTCCTGTTCTCTAAAGGGGCGGTCCTAGGGTTTGATGAGGGCGTGGCCAGGTTTGAGTTCCGCCACCTTTTCTC